CCCCCCCCTCCTCCCTTGGGAGGAAGGCGCAAAGCAAAGGCGCAGGTAGCATGGGCATTTACGTAGCTGCTAGATCATGTCACCAACATCGAGCTCCCGAGCGAGGGCCCAGATCAGCCGTACCGGGGCCCGGCCAACCGATCGATGGCCATTGTGGGTGAACTGCTAATTACCCCGTGCTCTGCGTGTCTGGGTCCGCATCTGACTTTGCCGGTCCCCTTAGCCATTCCACACCGACTCGGGCGCAATCCTGTCGCTCTATACCCTCTCTGTGCCCCCGGCAGGCGGGGCCTTCTACCTAGCTGACATCCACGACGTAGTAGCACGCATCCGAGCCACGCGACCGGAGCTGCTGGAGACGCTGCAAAATGACTGGATCATGACCGAGTAAGGGCCCCTCACACCCCCATTCCGGCAATGATAGGCGCCGGCGAAGCTGACTTGCTGCCCTTGCGCCCCCCCCCTCCCCAGCCCGGGGTCTAGCAAAGGATACGAAGAGCGGCCGCTCCTCTTTACGCTCCCGTCCGATCGGCTCGCTGTCCACGTGTCCCGGACCCGCCTATGCAACGGATTTCGGCGCCGGCCCTCGGCCCTGCCACCGCTATCGGTCCGGCAGGTGCAGGCCCTCGACGCCTTGCACGCCGTCGGACAGGAGACAGCCCGCCGCTTCGAGTTCCGCAGCGGCGACATGCTCTTTTTCAACAACCTGCGGATGATGCACGCCCGCGACGCTTTTGTTGACGGTTGCGAGGGGCAGAACACGACGAGACGTTACCTCCTCCGCCTACTCCTCCAGGACGAGCAGAACGATCGGTGGGAGGTACCACCCGAGCTAGACGCGATGTGGGACGAGCTTTATAATCACGATGACGCAGAGGAGATTATTCCGATTCATGAATCCCTTTTTTCTTTCAAGGCCAGTCACTAGACTGGCCTGTACACAGATGGCTTATACTATGGTTCTATCACCGGTAGTGCCCCAGAACGAGCAACACGGACTGCGCTACAACTTATGGTAACCACACTTCCTCTACTGCGCAACTGCGCAGCATTTTCGATAGTTCTACCCTATTTACACCTCTTCCACGTGGCCTAGTGCGCCTTGGGTCAGCGCAGCGATAAGCCTAGCTCGTCGCAGATAATCAAAGTCATTATCGATGGGCAAGTAAACGATATGCTTCAGCAGTTGGGTAGCTCTCTCCGCGCCTGTAGCCCGTTCCGTCACACTCCCATGCCCCTCAGGGCTTCCTGATTGTACCACAGTGAGACTAGCATCTCCGGATGCTGCATCGAACCCGGCGGCGAGAAGACTTTTCAGTACATCCTCGGGGTTCTCAACGCGAACAGGGCAGATCCAGTAGTGATGCGTCGGCACATCCTCTCTCATCATGAATCCAATTGGTCGAAGCGCCGGCGGACAGCACGCAGCAATCGATGCAATGCGCTGTGCACGCTTTACTATTGACTCGGGGCGGAATCGCAACAACTGATAAGCTAGAGTCTCTAGTAGAGCAACAGACGGCCTAAGTCGTATCTGCGGCAGTAGCGCTTCGTCCGCCGCTAGGCTATGGCTCAGTCGGGTGATAGTCTGGTTGTGGTCCTTCCCAGTTCTTCGCAGGAATAGGACAACCAGCCCATATAGGGAAGGATTATCTGTTGCTAATTTAAAGAGAGAATATTTCACCGTCCTCTGGAGGAACGCTTTCGACGTTTGCCGGGGATAGAAGGATTGAACCGCTTTCATCTGACGGAGCAGCTTCTCACTCCGGACTGTCGCCAGAGCACCGCCCAAGGATGTGCACGTCTTGATGGGGCCAAAGCTAAAGAGGCTAACTACCGCGGAAGAGCTTCCCACGAATCCGAGGCCGCGGAACGCTTGGGCGCAGTCTTCGACGAGCAAGATATCATTCTTCCTTGCTAGCTCCGCGATGCCATCTAAGCTGTGGACGGCACCAAAAAGCTGGGCGATTAGCACGAGTTTCGTCCGTGGCGTGATTAGGCGCTCGACATCCTCTACGGATACACTAGCGTCATCCTGGAGATCCAAGGCGACAGGAACCAGGCCGTGGGCGAGGATAATGCGCACCATGTCTGGTACCGTTACCGCGGACACGATCACCTCCGCGCCTTCTGGGAATTCGCATGCTTGGAGCAATGTGTCCAGCGCCGAACGGACGCTGAGCGCCACGAGAGTCTGGGAGGGAGCCCAAATCTTTTCGAGCTGTGCAACGGCCGCTGCGCCTCGTCCCCGCCGGTTTGGTCGCACAGAGACATAGATGGAGTATAAAATAGCCTTCCAGCCAATGTCGAAGAGTTTGCGGGCGAATATAGGTTTCCAGATAGGGAAAGTAGTGACTCGCATAAAATCTGACCACATTGCAGCCATGATGCATGATACCTGACCATGATGTCGGTATGTCGAGACAGGAAGGGAGGTCTCAACTTCTAGTCTTCATCACCCGGCCGGACCACCCTCGGCCCCCTCAACTGGTTGATTAGTCGTGTGCACATTGCATGGCTTCCAGCCGAAACTACTAGTTCTCGCCACTGAAGCAAGCCCACTAATGCCGGAACAGGGTCTAATAGGTCTAACTATGCCATTCTTTCATAGTAGGTACCACGTCAAGTTCAGCGCCAGTAGAATTCCGCGCCGCGAGCTGCTCTCATTGGCGAAGATCACAAGCGAGATCCTCGCCCGCAGAATGTCGTCCTACCTTACCCTAACCGGCCAAAGCTACTCTTTAGCGCATGCGGGTCTCTATATAGGGACACGAATGCACCCCTACAGGTACGAGTAGATACATAGGATGTGTCAATGCATAGGCTGAGAGTTGCACGATGATCGCTCGGGGGAATTCGCTGTCCGTTTGCCCTGCATGCCTATTTTCTTTTGAGCACCCCTCAACCCGTGCCGGAAACTAGGGAAAACCACAGTTCGCATTGGAACTGGTCATTTGCAACAAGCCCAATTGACGATGCCACGATGGTATCCACTAGGCACGGAAGACGCCGCGTCGCGCGGCTTCAAGAGGCAGCCTGACGACACGCGAATACTCCTTTCCCCTACCGAGAACGGTTCGACTAGCGATGGAGCAGACGACAGCGAGAACCTCCTCACGTGGGGGTTTAGCGACACCGAATATCGACTGACAGACGATGGTCAAGTCGAGATCACGGGCCGGCGCTATGCTTCG